CCCCAAAACCCCAAAACCCCAAAACCCCAAAACCCCTCTTGTTAAATAAATAATTGAATTTTGATATTCTTGAAGGGTATGGCTATTTTTATTATAATTAGAAACATGGAGAAGATTACAAGTAAACCAAAGCGATCAGATGGGAGCATAAAGAAGGTAATGCCTAATATCCTCTTGACTGGAAGTTTATTCACCCTTTTTATAGAAACTTGGAAAGTAAGAGGTAATATTGACAATAGAACTCCGGTAATGGTTAAAGCAATCACTCAGACAAAGCTTCAAGGCTGGCAAATAGAAAACAAAGTTATTATTAAGCTTACTTTTAGAAAGTGGGAGGAAAATTTGCGAGTGCAAAATTTAAGCCCTCAGAAGAAAGTGAAGAAAAAGGTAGTATTTTTGTATAATACCTCCTAATTTTAGTCAGGGAACTTGAAAACAAGCTCGAACTACTCAAAATCTCCAACATAAAATAAGGATCAAGGTAATGAATGGTAATAATCAATAGAAATTGAACTCCTTGAGTCCACAATAAGTACTTTTCTAGCATCAATAATAGATGAAAAATCAATTGCAGAGAGTATTCCGTTACAGAAGATAAAATTCCTAGAAAAGGTCAACAGCGAACTCCAAGGTAATTTATACTCTCCTAACCCAGCTGAATAGGCACAATTGATGAAAAGAAGCAAGAGAATGCCGAATTAGGTACTTTTGATACCTAACTTCTAGGAAAAGTGTTGCTTTCCCTTCGGGAAAAACTGACCGGACATAAGCTTAGTAAGATTATACTTAACCATTAGGTGAAAAGAAGAGAGAAGACGAGTTCTTTGATTACGTAGAGAGTAATTATAAATACGATTTTTAGAGATATTGAATGAATACAAAGACAAAAATGATACCCTCAAGGCTCAGAATGAGGAGTATCTGCAACAGAAAGATCAAGTTCAAGAAGAAATTAGCAGGTTGATTCAGTATGAGGAGGAGCAGAAAAATAAGGACAAGAAACCCTCTAGATAATCATTCATGTGGTAAAATTTGTTTTGAAGTCAATGGAGAGTACACTTGACTGTCTTAGGTTAGTGCTAAATATTTTACTGACCTTCTTTGACATTAATTTATTCTATTGAGACTTTTTGCTTTGAAGTGATAATGATTATTTGAATTAGCTTTCTAAAAGCATTATCACTGATGCATAAAGATCTTAGTTTACTTATCAATCGCCTTGCATAGACAAAAAGAGGATTCTAAATTTATTTTTGTTAAAGAATCAATGATATCAACAAATGGAAATAGCTTTAGCATAACTTATGGAGCATATTTGATAATGATATGAAGCCTTCATTTTGAAATGCAATTATAAGCTCTCTCAAAAATCATACAAAAGATTAATTTTACTGAAACTTACTTTTTACAGTTTTAACATTATTAAACCTTCAGAATTTTTAATTCAATCTTAGCATGAAAAAGGGGTTTTGGGGTTTTGGGGTTTTGGGGTTTTGGGG